GTGGAACAACTCCTACAGAACACCTACTGAACCCTGGCAGAAGACCTTAGACCTCCCAAAAGGCAAGAAACCCCCCCACGTACCTGGGTAGGGCACAAGAAAAAAGAATAAACAGAGACAAAAGGACAGGGACGGGACCTGCACCAGTGGGAGGGAGCTGTGAAGGAGGAAAGGTTTCTACACACTAGGAAGCCCCTTCGCGGGCAGAGACTGCGGGTGGCGGAGGGGGAACCTTCGGAGCCGCGGAGGAGAGCACAGCCACAGGGGTGCGGGGGGCAAAGCGGAGAGATTCCCGCACAGAAGATCGGTGCCAACTGGCACTCACCAGCCCGAGAGGTTTGTCTTCTCCCCCACCGGGGCGGGTGGGGCTGGGGGCTGAGGCTCGGGCTTTGGTCGGAGCGCAGGAGGAGGACTGGGTTTGGCTGCGTGAACACAGCCTGCAGGGATTTAGTGCGCCACGGCTGGCCTGGAGGGAGTCTGGGGAAAAGTCTGGAGCTGCCGAAGAGGCAAGAGACTTTTTCTTCCCTCTTTGTTTCCTACTGCGCGAGGAGAGGGGATTAAGAGTGCTGCTTAAAGGAGCTCCAGAGACGGGCGCGAGCCGCGGATGAAAGCGCGGAACACAGAGATGGGCATGAGATGCTAAGGCTGTTGCTGCCGCCACCAAGAAGCCTGTGTGTGAGCACAGGTCACTATCCACACCCCGCTTCCGGGGAGCCTGTGCAGTCTGCCACTGCCAGGTTCCCGGGATCCAGGGACAACTTCCCAGAACGCACGGCGTGCCTCAGGCTGGTGCAATGTCACATCGGCCTGTGGCGCCGCAGGCTCGCCCCGCACGCCGTGCCCCTCCCTCCCCCCGGCCTGAGAGAGCCAGAGCCCCCGAATCAGCGCCTCCTTTAACCCCGTCCTGTCTGAGTGAAGAACAGACGCCCTCCAGCGACCTACACATAGAGGCGGGGCCAAACCCAAACCTGAGCCCCTGGGAGCTGTGAGAACAAAGAAGAGAAAGGGATATCTCTCCCAGCAGCCTCAGAAGCAGCGGATTAAAGCTCCACAATCAACTTGATGTACCCTGCATCTGTGGAATACAAGAATAGACAACGAATCATCCCAAATTGAGGAGGTGGACTTTGAGAGCAAGATTTATCATTTTTTCCCCTTTACCTCTTTTTCTGAGTGTGTATGTGTATGCTTCTCTGTGAGATTTTGCCTGTATAGCT